CATGTTATATATATATATATATATGATAAAAAGGTGAATCTTTGTAACAATCTGTCGCGAAAATCTTCGAGAAATCTTGATCCGGGTTCAATTTAATCAACCAAACAAACACCAACCGAGGATGCTCGATCCACAACTTTATATACTTGGTTGCCACAAGTTTACTCACCCACAAAGGATGGTAGTAGTGGTGGTGGTTGCAATATCACAAAGGGATGAAGAGTAAGGAAGCAAAGGTGAAAACACAATACCTCACATCTCTTCTCGACTGCCTCTCTATTTCTTCTCTCTATGGCATTCACACACGCACATATCCTCCAAACAATGGCTGGAAAGCGATGGATATATATAGCACTAGTTAGGTTACTCCATTTGGGCCAAACTTCACTAAATGGGGCATCATATATCACCATCCAACTAATAACCAAAACTTGGGCCATCCATGACGGTTAGACCATGAGCAACATTAACTCAATTAAGTTGCTTCTAGTAGCGCCAAGTTATATTCGGGTTGAGCCATCACTAAGGTGTCGATATAAAATTATCCAACATCGGTTTAACATCATCGCCCAAGATTTATTGGGTATCAAAAATCCAACAAATCTCCACTTTGATACTCAATCAACTTGCAAATAACTAAAACACACAGTTTGTACTTGCATAATCAAGGTAACCATAAAATTGATATCACATACCTTACCTCGTGTTTAGGACCCAAAACACATACCATACCTGCTCTATGTACTTACCAACGTTAAGATCAAGAACATTCAAGTAAAATCAGATAATCATATCAATCAATCAAGAGCAAGTAAACATGTGATGGAGATATCATATAGAATAACACAAATCTTTTCAAAAAAATACGTTCACACAGAACAATAGATTAACATCAAGTTAATCAAGCACACGGTCAACACATATGCAACAAATAGATAAATGGCCCCTCGAAAAAAATCTCACCACACTTATCCTATCCCATTTCATGTGGCTCACATCTTGAGAACACACATCTCACCTCATCGCCCACATTGCTCAATAGACTAATCACTTAACCCATGTCCAACTAGTAGACTTCTATAGATCCTAAGTCATTGGGATAATCCTCTATCACCACATCACTTCTCCAAACCTAAATGGATAATGGGTCTCCACCTAACAGAAGTGATAAAAATACATCTCTCACACTCCACTTGATCAAAGTATCTTCACAGATAAATGATTTCAACATTTAATCACCTCCTCTCCACTCGTGATCCAAATGTCACACTCTACATCCCCGGTACAAACCACCAATGTATCCCTAGACATATATACTCCATCTTAACAAAGGAAAAAGAAAAGAAAGGCAAAATGAAATAATAATAATAATAATAATAAAGAAGCAAGGGAAGAAGACAAAAACATGCCGCCGTTTTCAAGTTTTAAAAACCTAGGCAAAATCAGAAATTTGTAGCTCAAGTCTCTCGTTTTGAAAGAGAATACAAAATGGTCTTTAGACTTTTTCTTTTTTTTAAAAAAAAAAAAGTGGTGCCTACCAATTTTTCTTTTTTCTATTTTTTTGTGCACACAAGTCCTCTAGAAATTTGCACTCAAGGTCCTTCAGCTTTGATCTTGTACAATTTGTTTCTCAGATTATAAATAAATTTCAAATCAATCATGCCCTCCAAAAATTTGCAACCTCAGGTCCTTGAACTTTTCGAATTTTTCAAATTCACAATTTTGTACGATTTTGGTCATTTTCTCCTCATTTTTGAATTGTTTTATTTCCTTGGGTAATTTTTACCTATAAAAGCAATAATTACATAATTGTGAGTAAAAATTTGCTCATTTTTCTATCAATAATAAGTATATTTGGGTATTAAATAAGTGTGCAAAAACACACTTATTAGGTCACCACATAAGAGGAAGATAAATTAGTTTCCATGGTAGTTTGGGTAGCCAGTTGTTGTTCCTCACACAATGATGAAGGCAAAATAATAACTCAATTTAATTTCGGGTTTGTTCGTTTTTGACGAATTGCTAGTCTAATTTGAGTGGAAACGGGCCAGTGATCACAACTCAGGGCCTTTGGCCCTGAAGCACATCAAATTTTGGGCAAATTCCATCGTTTAGGCCCTCAATTATGCGTTTTTGCCGTTTATGGTAATTTTTGTTTTGGCAATATCTTAGTCAAATAAACTCGGATTTGATTTCCGTTTGTTGGGGGACGATCCTGATGATTAGAC